TGCAAATTCCCTTTACCTTTATTTCTAGGTTTCAGGATGTAAATAGATAGTGATAGATGGATAGATAGACAGATAGATACATAGATACATAGATACATAGATAAAATAGGCAGATATATGGATAGACAGACAGACAGTTGGAGAGAGAGAGAGACAGAGAGAGGGAGAAAGAAAGAGAGAGAGAGAGAATAATAAATGGATACAAATTAAAAATTGCTTAAGTAGAAAAGAAGTTAAAGGGCATCTCAAGGCCCTGAGCCTGTATCTGATGGTACCACAATGTGAGGAAGTTTCGAGAGATGGAGTCACCTCCCAGGATCACAGACTTGAGTATTGAGGGACTCTGGTGTCTAGTTGACTATCTGTGGGGCAAGAAGGAGAAAGAAGCTGAGCACCAGATCCAAGGATGGAGGTTTCTGTTGACACCCTAAGAGAAATGTTTAGAAGTAGACCTTCAAGAGGCAATTTCCCAGCTATGACCAACATTCACCTCCTACAAAGAGACATATTACCATAAGGGGAAAAAAAACCTGTTATGCGTAGTAGGGTAAGGTCAGGAAGGGGGCATTTCCCCTTCAGGGGTCTGCAGTGAGAGAGCTTCCTCTCCCTATTAAATGGAATGCACCTGTGATATCACTGTTCCTGATCCATCTCCTCAATCTGAGAGCCTGCTCTAACATGGTGCAGGCTCAGCCCTGTCACACCTCCTCCTCCTCTCCATATCAGAAATGACATCATATCCACCAGGTGGGGATGGTCCTGAATGGCAGGCAGGGAATGTATGTATGTATAAAGAAGGGGTGATATTCCTTCTCCTGAACCTTTGTTCAGTCATTTCAGTCATGTCAGACTCTTAGTGATGCCTTTTGGGGTTATCTTTGCAAAGATACCGAAGTACTACCCCTTTTCTTCTCTAGTACTTAAATGATATTCATCAGAGACAGTAAGGACTACTAGGTAGTATGGTGGATAGACCACTGGGCTTGGAATCAGGAAGACTAATATTTCTGAGTTGAAATCCAGCTTCAGACATTTACTATCTATGTGGCCCTTGGCAAGTACCTTAATTCTGTTTGCCTTAGTTCCTTATTCATAAAATGAGCTGGTGAAGGAAATGGTAAACCCCTCCACAATATCTTTGCCAAGAAAACCCAAAATGGAATGAGAAAGAGTTGGACATCACTGAAATGACTGAACAACAACAACAAAAGTGGAAACATTTGTTCCCTTTACAAGCAGATGTTTTTAACCCATTTACACTCTCTGTATTGCTTTCATACAAAGCTGGTCATCAGGGCTGGCTTCCAAGACACAAGGTTTCTTTTTCACAACTAGCTTAACATGAATAGTGAGTACAACAATCGCATCTTCATTTAAAGATTCTCTATGTTCTTCCCCAAACCATCAGAACATGAGTGAAACCGTAATTCTTCCTAGTCTCCAAAGGTGGTAGAAGAACTTGTCCTTCCTCCTTAGGGCAGTTAGGTGATAGGATAACTGTGGCCTTTGGAGAAGGAAGGGTAGGAGGCTAAAGAGATGGTCTCAGGGATTCAATCAGTTCCTACTTAATTCCCTACTAGAAACCACACCTTAAAAACAATTTTAAATGTCAACTCTGGCAACTCATGAAAATTCCCATTTCCTATTCATCTATGTTTCAGGATCCCCTTATATGGTAATAAATAATAATCGTAATAAAAAATAGCTAATGCTTCTGTAACATTTACCATACATGTTCCAGGCACTGTGCTAAGCTCTTCACAATTATTATCTCATTTTATCCACACAACAACCCTGGGAGGCAGGGCCTCATTTTAAAGATGAGTAACTCAGACAAATGGGTGAAGTGACTCAATTAGAGTCACATAATTCAAAAGTGTCTGAGCTTCGATTTGAACTCATGTCCTCCTGACACCATACCAGCTTCTCTATCCACTGTATCTTCTAGTTCAGGGGCCTCAAGGCCACATGTGGCCTTCTAGGTCTTCAAGTGTGGCCCTTTGACTGAATCCCAACTGAACTGAGCTAGACACTTACAATGATGTGGGCTCCGTATATGTGAACTGTAATCTATATATAACTGCTATGTGCAGTCATTCTTCCATTGCTGTTGCATCTACTTATGAGAAAACGTGCCCAGCTTAGAGGGAAATGTCCTGTTACTCCTTTGTCTGTTACTATGCTGTTTAATGAAAGGTTTTCCTTTGAACTATTGCAAACTCTCTCTGACTAGTAAAAGGACGTACATGCATCGCGACTCAGAAGCTGTGGTTTTGAGTGGATAGGGATTCAGAGTATCTTGAGGCAACATGGCTTTGGTTTAGTATTACATGACAGGCAGTGTGCAAAGCACTACAGTGAGAAGTAGTACTAGGGGGAAAATGATGGTGACCTGAGTTCTTGGTGCTGCGCTAAAATTGATATCAGTTTCTTCCTTCCCTACCTCCCCCATCACTCTTTCTCGTACTTGGGGCAAACAGGTTTGTGAACAGATGAGAGGAGTGGCACTGAGTATATGTTGCTGGCACAGAGAGAGAGGGCAGAATCCCCCTGCTCCAAGGAACTGATGTTGAGGCTGAAGTGGAAATTTCTATGCTTTTGAGCTATGAATCCATCAGAGATTTTGCCTTCCTCATTCCATTGCTCAGTATAGAAGTAAAAGAGCATCTCAGGGCTTTGACCAAGTATCTTCTGAATCAGAATACCCTCTCATGTACAGAGATGAGGTCACATGGCAGGATCACTGACTGACCTGTCCTTGAAACCAAGTAATTTTGATGTTGTTGAGTGACCCTAGCATCCAGTTGACCACCTGTGAGGTAAGAAGAAGAAGAAAGTAACAGATTGAAGGAAGAGAGTTTCTATTGAGGCCTCCAAGGGAAATATTTAGAGGTAGAATCTCAAGATAATTTCTTCACTGCAACAAATAATCACCTGCCATTCAGCAACAAATTATCATACAGAAGAAAAACTTGGACTGTTTAGTAGGTTCAAGTATGGAAGAGGCCATTTTGTCCCTTAGGAGTCTGCAGTGAGAGAAGCTTCTCTCCTGACCAAATGGAATGTGCCTATGGTATCACTGTTCCTTCGCACGCCCTCTACCCCAATCCAAGAAGCTGTTCTAACAGGGATCAGCCCTGTCCCTACCTCTTCCTCATCTGTATGTCATTAATGACATTCTACTCAGCAGGTGGGACTGGCCTTGGTTGGGAAGGAGAAAGAACATGAGTGTGGGGAAAGTTGATCCCCTTTGCCCCCAAGCCTTAAATGATATTTATCAGACACAGTTGCTCCTTCTGCCTACACACACAAAAAGGAAAGAAAAAAGAAGGAAGGAAGGGGGGAAGAAAGAAAGAAAGAAAGAAAGAAAGAAAGAAAGAAAGAAAGAAAGAAAGAAAGAAGAAAGAAAGAAAGAAAGAGAAAATATGAGGTAAGGAAAAAGGAAGGAAGGGAGGAAAGAAAGGAAGAAACAAAGCCAATTATAAATTCCATACTCCTTCAGTACACAACTATTCATCAGGCTGTCTTCCAGGATACAAGGTCACCTTTCCAGAACCAATTAAACATGGATGGTGAATACAACAATCACATCTGTATTTCACCATTCTCTGTGTTCTTCCCAGGACCATCCGAATTGGAATGTAATCATAGCTCCTACTAGTGGCCAAAGGTAGTAGGATCACCAAGACTTGTCCTTTCACTTTAGGGAAGCTGGGTAGGAAGGGGAGCCATGAACGTAGGAGAAAGAAGGTTAAAAAGACAGAGTCTCATGGATTCAATCAGCACCACTTTCATTTCCCACTAGTCAGCACTTGTTAAAGCCAAATCTGAACTTCAACCCTTCCTATGCCTAAAAATACATGTTACCAATACTTATATATTTCAGAAGTCCTTTATATAAAAAGAAAAAGTAGCTATAATCATAACAATAATAATGATAAATAACAACAATATTAACAGCTAACATTTATATCAAACTTACTCTTCACCAGGCACTGTGTAAGTGCTTTACAAATATCTAATTTGATCCTTACAACAACACTCAGAGTTAGGTGCTATTATCATTTCCACTTTAAGATGGGCAAAAGGAGGGGGCAGTTATGTGGCGTAGTATATGGAGGTCTGGCCCTGGAGTCGGAAGGACCTGAGTTCAAATCCAACCTCACATACTAGACATTTACTCTCTGTGTGACCCTGGGCAAGTCACTTAACTCCAATTGCCTCACCAAAAAGAATAAAACAAAAGGAAACTGAGGAAGATAGGTAAAGTGACTTGCCCGAGGTCACATACCTCACAAGTGTCTGGGCCTAAAATTTTACTCATGTCTTCCTGATACCACATCTGGTTCTTTTTTGACTGTGTCATCTATAATAGGTTGCCAAACTGTACGATATCACATCCTAGGTGGCACTGGAAAGGTCCATGGGGATGGTAGTAGTTGGAAATGATGCAAATTTCAAAAAAAAAAGAATTCATTCAAAGGTAAAGAAAGTAGATTTCCATTGGTTGAAGGCTTTTGAATGTTTTTTTAAAGGGGGGCAGTAGGCCAAATATGTTTGGGAACCTCTGAATCCTTTGGGATATAGGAGAACTGCTTGGATAACCTGCTACATGATTGCTATGTGTGTCATTCTTCTATTGTTGATGCACACAAAAGTGAGACTATAGCACAGCTTCAGAAGAAACAGTGTCCTGTTACTACTTTGTGTCTGACTATCACATTTAATGAAATGTTTCTGCTTTGCATTCATTGCATCCTCTCCCTGACTAGAAAAAGCAAATATGTCCATGAAGGCTCATCGGCTATAGCTTTCAGTGCCTGGGCACCCACAGAATGCAGGAACCAACATCACTTTGCTGGCTACTACATGAAAGGGAGTGGCCCAGCTACTTCAATGAGAAGCAGCTAATGTCAGCACTGGAGGGAACAAGATAGATGACCCCAGTCTGTGGTGCTGAGCCGGAATTCATGTCAGCCTCCTGCTTCCTGCCTCCTCTTTCATTGTTCCCTGGGCTTGGGCCAAACAGGTTTCTGAACAGATAGGAGGTACCTCTGTGACACTGTGTCTTTGCTGCTGGCACAGAGATAGAGAGCAGAATCCCCCTGCTCCAAGGAACTGATGTTCAGGGTGAAGTACAAATTGTTGTCCTGTTCAGCTTTGAATCGATTAGGGATTTCTCCCGTACCCCTCTCTTCCTTATCATAGAAGTAAAAGAGCATCTCAAGGCCTTGACCCAGTATCTGACGGCACCAAAAAGCCTCGTTGTGTCCCAAGATGGGGTCACATCCCAAGATCACTGACTGTCCTGTCCTTGACACCAGGTAACTTGGATGTTGCATGACCTTGTCATCCAGTTGACCACCTGTGAGGTAAGAAGAAGAAGGTAACAATAATTTGAAGGGAGAAAGTTTCTGTTGATGCACCCAAGGGAAATATTTAGAGGTCGAATCTCAAGATAATTTCTTCATCAGAAAAAATATTCACCTGCCATTAAGAGATAAAATATCAGAGAGAAGAAGAATGTAGAATGCATTGTAGAGTCAGGTCTGGAAGAGGACATTTCCCCCTCAGGTCTGCAGTGAGGAGGGTATTCTTCTGAACAGGTGGAATGTACCTGGGATATCACTATTCCTGACCACACCCCTCCCTCAGTTTGAGCAGCTGTTCTGACTGGGCTGCCTCTTCCTCATCTGCATGTCATTAATGACATCCTACCCAGTGGGTGGGGCTGGATTGGTTGGTGAACAGGGAGTGTGTATGAGTGTAGGCAGGAGTGATTCCCCCATCCTCTAAGCCTCAAATGATCTTTATCTGAAACACTTGTTCCCTCTGCCAAATGAATTTATTTGAAAAAGCCAATGACAAGCTCCCTTCTCCTTCAGTACACAGCTGTGCATCAAGAACTGGCTTCCAGGATACAAAGTCTCCTTTCTAGAACTAGCTAAACATGATGGCGGATACAACAGTCATGCCTGTTTTTGAAGATTCTCTAAGTTCTTGGAATGGGCAGACAAGAACCCTGAGTTGCAATGGCCATGAAAGCAGCTGAAACAGGCGCTGTGGATCACATAGAGCTTGTTCAGACATCCCAGACACATGCTAAGGCTATCCAGTGCTTCCAGGGCTATGGCCAGTTCTCTTGACTTTCCTCTTATCACTGGACTTTGATGACTCTGAAAGAAAAAATCAGGCTGACCCCCTTGCACAACTCCACCTTACCTTAATCAGATTCACCTACAAGTCAAGACATTATTCTTCTCATGTCATTGGTGCTCCTCAAAAAGTACAAACAGCAATAACAAAGGACTTCCCAGAACAATCTGAATTTTAGAAGAACCATCCATCACTCCTCCCAGTGGCCAAAGATGGTTGACTCACTAGAATTTGCCAATATTCTTTAGGGGATCTAGGTCACAGGGTAACTGCAGCCTTAAGAGAAGAGAGTAGGAGGCTAAAGAGATGGTCTCAGGAACTCAATCAGCTTCTTCCTTCTACTCCTAGGAGGCAGTACTCCTTAAAACCAAATTTAGACCCTTCCTACTCCTGAGAATTCTTTTTATTTGTATTTCTAGGATTCAGGATATATGGGCTTGTCTGCTGGAGTGTATGATAGCTAACATTTTATTGGCTTCCTTTGTGGCTGCACCAGTGCTAAGTGCTTGAAAATTCTTAGCTCACTTGATCCTCACAACTACCCATTTTACAGCTGAAACAGCCATGAAGTGACTTGCCCACAGTCACATAAGTAGAAAATTTCTGAGGCCAAGTTTCCACTCATGTCTTCATGATTCCTTACCTGCTGTTCTATCCACTATGTCACCTGGATGCTTATGCATATGTGAGCTCAGTAAGTGTGAAGTGTCTGTGCACAGCCCATATATAATTCCTACGTGAAGTCGTTCTTCCAACTTTGATGCCTGTATTTCTGGGAAGTCGTGTCCTAGCTTCAAAAGAGACAGCATGTCACAACCTTGTTTTTTACTACATTGTTTCACTAAATATTTCTGCATTGAATGAATTACATACTCTCACTAAGAACTGCAAAGAAACCTGTGGGGCCTTGCAAAATGTTGTTTCAATTGGTACTTGAAGTAGCATAACTTAGCTGGGGTTTTATGTCAGAGAGAGGTTCCCAGGTACTATGCTAAGAAGGAGCTGAAGTAAGCACTAAAGGGAAAACCTTAAGAGGCCCTACTCCCTGGTGCTGAGCTAAAATTGATGTCATGAATTGCTCAGAGGTTTTACCTGTCTCACTCAATTACTTAAAAGAGAACTAAAAGAATATCTCAGCGCCCTGATCTTGTATCTGATGGTACCACAATCCCACTCTGTCCAGAGATGGGGTTACATCTAGGATCACTTGCTGTCCAATCCTTGAGACCGGGTGATTTTGACCAGTTAACCAACTGTGGTGTAAGAAGGAAAAGGAATATCTAGGAATATCCAAAAGGAATACACCAAACAGATTCAGGAGGAGAGCTTTTACTGAAGCCTCAAGGGAAATACTTAGAGGTAAAACCTCAAAATGCAATTTCACAATTGAGACCAGTATTTAACTCTTAATAAGGAACATATCATAACACATAAGAAAAACCTGGAATGCCTAGGATAGTCAGGGATGGAAAAGGCATTTCCCCACTCAGGAATCTGTAATGAGAAAGATTCCTCTCCCAAACAGGAGGAATATGCCTGTGTGATTACTGTTCTTGCTGATATTCCCCAACTCCCACATGTATCCTGCCCTGACATGATGCAGGCGCAGACCTGTTCCTGAGTATGTGTGAGGGTGTGGAGGACTGATCCCCTTCTGGGAAGCCTTAAATGATATCTATCTGAGACAGATGTTCCCCATGCCAAAAGAATGGTTTTTGAAAAGCCAATTACTCCTTCAATACATAGCTGTGCAGTAGAGCTGGCTTTTGAAACACAAGGTTGCCTTCCCAGAACCAGCTAAACAGGAGAGATTGATACAGCCATCATGTCTTTATTTGAAGATTTTCTATTTTCCCCCCAAAATGTCCAAATTAGAGTGGAACTAATGCTCCAGCTAGAGGTCATAATATGGCAGCACTTCTCCTTGCTCCTTAGGAGAGCTGGGGTCAAAAGCTAGTAGTGGCCTTAGGAGAAGGAAGAATAAGGTGCTGAAGAGATGGTCTCAGGCATTCACTCAGTGCCTCCTTTCTTTCCTACTAGTCAGCACTACCTAAAACCAAATTTGAAATTCAGCTTTCTACTCCTGCAAATTCCCTTTACCTTTACTTCTAGGCTTCAGGATGCAAACAGATATTGATAGATGGATAGATAGACAGATACACAGTCATAGATAGATGATAGACAAAATAGACAGACAGACAGATACATGGATAGATAGATACATACACACATACATACATACATACATACAATAATAAATGGATACAAATTAAAAATTGCTTAAGTAGAAAAGAACATAAGGAACACCTGAAGGCCCTGACCCTGTATCTGACAGTACTACAATGTGAAGTGTTCAGAGATGAAGTCACATCCCAGAATCACAGACTGAACTATCCTTGACACCATGTGACTTCCATATTGAGGGATTCTGGGGTCTAATTGATTACCTGTGGGGCAAGAAGAAGAAAGAAGCTGAGCAACAGATCCAAGGAAGAAGGTTTCTGTTGAAGCCATAAGAGAAAGATTTAGAAGTAGAACTTCAAGAGGCAATTTCCCAACTATGGCCAGCATTCACCTACTACTAAGAGATATATTATCATAAAGGGAAAAAAACTTGTTATGCATAGTAGGGTAAGGTCAGGAAGGGGGCATTTCCCCTTCAGGGGTCTGCAGTGAGAGAGCTTCCTCTCCCTATCAAGTGGAATGCACCTGTGAATCATTGTCGCTGATCCATATCCTCAATCTGAGAGCCTGCTCTAACATGGTGCAGGCTCAGCCCTGTCACCACCTCCTCCCCCTCTCCATATCAGTAATGACATCTTATGCCCAGGTGGGTATGGTCTTAAATGGCAGGCAGGGAATGTATGTATGTATAAAGAAGGGGTGATATATATTCTCCTAAACCTTTGTTTAGTCATTTCAGCAATGTTAGACTGTTTGTGCCCCTTAAGGGGTTATCTTTGCAAAGATCCTGAAGTGGTCAGCCCTTTTCTTCTCTAGTACTTAAATGATATTCATCAGAGACAGTAAGGACAGCTAGGTGGTACAGTGGATAGCCCACTGGGCTTGGATTCAGAAAGACTGATATTTCTGAGTTGAAATCCAGCTTCAGACACTTACTATCTATGTGACTCTGGGGAAGTACCTTAATCCTGTTTGCCTTAGTTCCTCATCCATAAAATGAGCTGGTGAAAGAAATGGCAAACCTCTCCAGTATCTTTGCCAAGAAAACCCAAAATGGAGTGAGGAAGTGTTGGACATCACAGAAACAACTAAACAACAACAACAAAACTGGCAACGTTTGTTCCCTTTACCAGCAGATTTTCTTAATCCATTTATACTCTCTGTACAGCTTTAATAGAAAGTTGGGCATCAGGGCTGGCTTCCAAGACACAAGGTTTCTTTTCCACAACTAGCTTCATGTGAATGGTGGATACAACAATCACATCTTCATTTAAAGATTCTCTATGTTCTTCCCCAAACCATCAGAACATGAGTGGAACCATAATTGTTCCTAGTCTCCAAAGGTGGTAGAAGAACTTCTCCTTCCTCCTTAGGACAGTTAGGTGAAAGGATAACTGCGGCCTTTGGAGAAGGAAGGGTAGGAGGCTAAAAAAGATGGTGTCAGGGATTCAATCAGTTCCTACTTCATTCCCTACTAGAAACCACACCTTAAAAACAATTTTGTATTTCAACTCTGGCAATTCATGAAAATTCCCATTTCCTATTCTTCTATATTTCAGGATCCCCTTATATAGTGATAAATAATAAAATCATAATAAAAAATAGCTAATGTTTCTGTAGCAATTACCATACATGTTCCAGGCACTGTGTTCAGCTCTCCACAATTATTATCTCATTCTATCCACATAAAACCCTAGGAGGCCGGGCCTCCTCTTAAAGATGATTAACTCAGGCAAATGGATGAAGTGACTCAATTAGAGTCACATAATTCAAAAGTGTCTCAGCCTCGATTTGAACTCATGTCCTGTTGAGGCCACACCAGCTTCTCTATCCACTGTATCTTCTAGTTCAGGGGGTGGGGAACCTGCAGCCTTAAGGACACATGTGACCCTCTAGGTCCTCAAGTGTGGCCCTTTGACTGAATCCCAACTGAAATGAGCTAGACACTTATAGGATGTGGGCTCAGTGTATGTGAACAGCCTGTGTAACCTATATATAACTGCTATGTGCAGTTATTCTTCCATTGATGATGCATCCACTTATGAGAAAACATGCCCAGCTTAAAGGGAAATGTCCAATTACTCCTTTGTCTTTTATTACTCTGTTTAATGAAATGTTTTCCTTTGAACTATTGCATCCTCTCTCTGACTAGAAAAAGAAAATACATGCATGGGGGCTCACAAGCTGTGGTTTTAAGTGGATAGGGATTCAGAGTATTTTGAGG